CCCTTTCACCAACTTGTATCAATTAGTGCGTTTGTTATGTCTGCGGTGTCTGCAACACAAGTGCCATTAGCATTTGTCTTAATATCCTCAAAGAAAAAGAGAGATTACAAGAAGGTTAGTTTACATATGACTCCCTTTTACTGCTCAGTCTTATCTTTTTTAAAGGAAAATAATGGTTAGAGCACTCTTCAAGTGAAATTTCTAATATCAAAACCAAAGTTATCTTGACAGCCAATCAAAACAAAGGAAAATGTGCTTGTATAAAGACAAAAAATTATCCTTTTTTGAATGCATTATTCTTCCTTTTATCTATCAGATTTTGAGAGAGATCATCCATCTTCTACCTGGGGAATGGCTTCATGTGCAATTTGTTACAGCAGATTTTGATGAGGCATTGTGGGGAGCACTTCAGTCTGTTGTCCCACATGTAAAGCTGCAGGGATGTCCTCTTCACTGGACCCAGTTGGTGTGGAAAAAGGTAAACTGAATTTGTCAAGTTAAGTTAAGTCATGCACTTGTATTTTCATCTGAGCTCCTTGCACCAGCAGAATTACAGTTTTAGGCCATCAAGCTCTTTGCCCAACCCTCTCATTTCTTATCAGCCACCCTGACATGCTCCTACTCTTTCACTCTTGTAAGTACCCTTCCCTATCATCTGGGACAAGTTTGTCTTGTAAAGGACTGTTTTTCTGAGAAAGCGATTGATAATTTCCCTCTCTGGTTGTCAAAACATTAATTGCTGTCCATCTTTTTCCTGACAACTCTCACCTGGACAATTAAACCATATTAGCAATATGCAATTTGCTAACAATGGCATCCAAATGAATGCTAGGATTGGCCAACCTCAAGGGCAAGTTCATGCATGGTTTATCTTTGTAATAGGGCAAGATGCTTAGTTCAAAAAACTTCGCATTTGTTTATTCTTTAAGTCATACTGCGTATGTTTACAAACCTTTTTTAACTAGAGATAGTAGTCGTGCTCTCCATCAATGCAAAGACTAAAAATTTTTGGCTCATATTTTTATCAGATGCAAGATCTTGGTCTGCAAGCACTGTGCATTGAGGATAATAGTATGCACAAGTACATTAGGAAACTGCTTGCATTACCCTTACTGCCTGGCAAAGAGATTTCTACTCAGTTCCAGCGACTAAAACTACAGGCAACCACGGAGACACTTCAGGAACTAATAAAATACATTGAGGATACATGGATCACCAACATTGCGTACCCCATCAGGGATTGGTCTGCTTATCGTCAGCCAATAAGAACAATGAATGACATTGGAAGCTGGCTGAAGCTTCTCAGTAATGAAACCAGTAGGAAAGGTCAAGTTCCTTTTTACACTCTAGTTCAGTCACTGCATCAAGTGGCCCAACTTTCTGTTCAAAACATGCAGTTGGTAAGCAACGAAAAGTTGATCAGGATTCAACAGCAAGATTGCCATCACTTGCAGTCACAGATCAGTCAGTATTGGACTGAGTTTAGGAAAAGAAAAATAACAGCAACAAAACTTCTAAAGGTCTGTTCCAAGCTGTATGGGCCATCTCAAACTGAGTCCTGACTTTCATATATCATGAGATTTTATTCATTCATTAATAAGCTTGTATTTATTTTGAACACTGATGTTAGATACCAGCAGAAGCTTAGTAGAACCTACTGGTAATGTGAAGAAGTTTACTTGCCATGATTTTTTAAAAAATTTATTTTGTCATAATCAAAATGTCCTATTTTTTTGCATTCAGTTTTGTATCTTGTAAAAAGTATTTTTGCAAAAATGTACATAACAGTTGTGTATTAGAAACATTATCATTAAACACATATGCTGGGGAATGTTGTTCAACCAGTAGAGGTGGTAGATGTGTCAAAATCTTTTACAGCAGTGATGAGTTGCTTTAACTTGTCAAGAAAAAAAATTCACTTAGGTTAAAAATTTAATTTATTACAGTGTAACATTAATTATTGATCATTAATAGCATCTTTGGGGTTAAGAGAATTGTTAATATTTTAATATTTATTATTTCTACAGTGTTGTAATACATATTGTAAGATGTACTGCCACTGTTAATGTTGTAAGCGCTGTTTGTGATGAGTATCATAATTCCAGTATGCAAGGTTGTAAGTGTTTCTTCATTGTTACAAGAAGTATTAGTACTATATTGTATTGCCTAATTCTAGTATGGCAGCAGAATAATGTGGAAAGAGGGGAAAATTCTCTTACTTGCGATAGCCACAAATTATCCAAACAAATTGCTCCCGCGTTTGGCTCGTTACACAGTGTCGTTTCTACCATGAGAATGTGTCTTTGTTTCGACCTTGTGAGGCCAGTGCGCTTGTCAAGCGCAAGATACGTGCGCGAAGAATAGCAGCCCCCGGCTCTTGCTCGAGAGTACCGGTGTTATTCACTCGCGCGACTGGTTCCCAGGGTTCTGTCTTCCCCGTGGAGAGAGGAACTTGGTAACGAGGTTGTCACTCGCGCCCAATCCAGCGCGTTCTACGTACCCTAGTCATTATTCTTAATGGCGGGTATGATTATTTTTGTCTTTTCTACACGAATATTAGCCTTCTTAGCCTAGCTTTTGAATGAAAATGCGATCGATTTTGGACATGAACTTTCAACACTAATTTTATTACAGGATAACAGGGTGAAACTAAAAAAACAAAACAAAACAAATGAGATATGAGTCTAGTAGGATAAACCAACAGCTGTGGCTCGGGTTCGACTCCCGGACATGATATCACATGTGAGTTGAGTTTGTGGTTGTTCTCGTTCTTTTTCCGGGGGTTTTTCTCTAGGTCCTCCGGTTTTCCTTCCTCCACATAAACCAAAATTCTAAGTTCTAATTCGACCTGGAAACACTCGAAACAGATGAGCCACCACCTAGAATGTCCACTGCTGAATTCCATTCTTCTTCTTCTTCTTCTTCTCGTTATTATTATTATTATTATTATTATTGTTATTATTATTGTTATTATCATTATTATTGTTGTTACTATCGTTAAAAAAAAACTACGGTTAACTATAGCTTTATTGAAAAAACTACTTTAACAGACAACTACGCTTAGCGCGACTTCTAGAGAATCTGACTGAAAGAGTGACTATGTTTAAAAGGATCTGGGTTTAAATACAAGAGGACTGCATAATTACGTGCGGGACGAAAGCGTGTGAAAGTGAAGGTGTAACGATGACAAACTGAACAGAAAACAACGAGGAGGTATAAGAAAAGAATAGATAAGAAAAATTAATAGTTCCAAAACTAATTAAAAGACGCTTAGATCTTGCACTGATAGCTATGAGAGAGGTCTCTAATTAACGAGATTTGTGTCTATTACCATTTCTTAGGCGATGCTGTTGTTTTTGGAAAGCCTATTTGGAAGTACTAGATGACTTGTCTAGAACCTTGATCACTTCAAACGATGATTTCACGAGGGGCGAAAATTGCATTGGGAGCATCGTTCTGTTTCGCTTCTGCTATCATTTTCCTGGTTCATGAAATGCAAACTGCTGATCGTAAGAGGCTCAGAGAAGGTGTGATCAGAGATTTAGAACGACAAGAGAAAAAGAGGAGAAACCTTGAAGAGTTAGAACAACAGATCGAACTAACAAAGAAGTTACAAGAGCAGAGAGACAAGTGATCTGTAATTTCCTCATGAAGAGAACTTCACAGAACTTTGTGGGGACTATAACTCAATTGTCTTATGGATTAAATAAATATACTGTGCAGTTTTGGTAATTCAAAAGTGAAGCGAAGATATAAGATCTATAGAAAACAGAAAATTATTTAAAGTAAGCTTGCAAGATCTTGTTCCAGTCACCTGCTATGGTCACGTTACCTAACGATTTAGAGTAAAAATTATTATCTGTGTGATGTGCTGAGGTCTTCTGTTTATATCGTTACCACTGACTGACAGCCTGGCACGAGTTACTGGTTCTTTCACTTTGATCTAAGAATAGAGGTGATTTGCGTTCTCGAAGATAGCGTGTAAAACAGATGGATTTTTTCTTCTTGTGTTTTTCAGGCGAGCACGAGCCAAGCGCGGGTCGAACTAGAAACGTTCCTACTCTATCGCGTGTTTGTTCCATGGCGCTCACCTGACACTGACTTCTGCCTGCTTGAAAGATGCAAAAAAAAACCAAAAAAAACAGACTAGACAACTCAAGAAACACGCCTTGCTAAGGTGTGTTTGATCCGTGAACATCACGTTACGTTACTTGAGAACAATGAACTCTTCATTGCATAGACATTTAGCATATTAAGGGTTTAAAATTTACTTCTGGTATGAATAACAAGTCACAAGTGTTTTTTTAAACATCTTTCAAACAAGCAGAAATAAGCGTTAGGTGAGCGCTAAGGACGAAAACAAAAGTCGTTCCTACTCTATCTAGTGCTCAGGGTGGCAATTTTTATTTCAGAACGGAAATTGAGCAATGCTTCGTTTATTATCGATCAGATCAAAAGGGAAATTTCCCTTGTTAAGGTTTTGAACTGTAAACATCACGCCACATTTCTCGAGAACAATGAACTCTTCATTGCAGAGGCATTTAGCATATTAAGGGTTTAAAATTTCCATGTGGTATGAATAACAAGTCATAACACCTCAACCAGTCTCCGGATAAATTTCGAGTCGCAGTCTCGCAGTTCGTCCAGTAATCATTAAGAAAATCAGTTTTGTGCATCTGCCATCATGATATTTCTCGCTCGAACTTAAATTTCAAGGTGGGTAAGTAACAGTTTTTTGCAACTATTAACGAAGTAAATCATCAACAGACAATACCGATAAAGGTCTTAGAAAGTCAAAACTTTGTTAACTTGGCACAACACTCAATTTCTGATCATTGCTGTCAGTAACAAGATTTGACGTTTGGGGTCATCATCTTGCGTACAGAGAAAGTTGTAAGCCGCATTTTGCATAAATGAAAATGCAATCTTTAATTTTGTACTCTTCAATTTCCTTTTATCATCAAAATGCACAATAATTTGTTTTCTCGTGCTTCTTGTTCATGCCATGCAAGTTCGTAATCCCTTTTACGAATGAGCAGCTTAATTATTTCAAATTTGCCTCCATTGTACTGAATGAGTTCGCCATTGCTCTGCGTCAGACATTCAAATCCGTGTGGGACAACAGATTTGGATATCGTCCCGGGTATCAACTGTGGGATAACTCCACCCTAGTAAGAAATTTGCTTCTCGCTGAAGAAGGTGGAAAAACCAAAGTTCCTTCACAAATCACCTATGAAGAATGGGATTGTACCGCCCTGTTCCAGGCCACCATCTATGCAAGGTCCTTCGCTACGTTAGACAGCAAAGGTCATTACAAGACACTTGGTGAACTGTACGTAAAGCACCATAGAGTATCTCCTGGGAAGTTCCATCCATCTGTTGTGAGTCCAAGTGGAAATACAGCCGAAACCTTCGCTCTCGCGATTGATCAGCTTCGACTTCGACGAAACTCGCTTTGTCACTCAGACAGGTCAGAGATTGATAAACCAACCTTTGACCAATACGTGCAGCTCGCTAAAGAAGCCTTCAGAGCTCTTTGTATCAAGACAGATCCCATTGATGCCATCGGTGGATTAACAGAGTCTGACTTTCCCATAAAAGAAGTTCGCAAATTGGAGGAAAGTCTTAGACGGGAGACCAGATCATATATCGAGTGCCTCGAAGAAGTGAGATCAGGTGTCGACAAATAAATAGCGCAGGGGAATGCTATGGTAAAAGTTGAAGACCTCGCTTTGTTGGAGAGAAAAATAGATGATTAAAATCTTATGATGGATCAAAATCAAACAGGTAAAACTGATTAAAAACTTTACAGGATTTTTGGATTATCAACAATTTTAAGATACAGTGTGGCAGAGTGTTACAAGCACTAGGTTAGTAGGGAGGAACAAAAGAGACAACAGTATTTTTACTCTATTCTTTAGTAGCAATAGTTTAACGAGGTAACTTCCAGTTTTCGCAAAAATGCTTTACATATCAAACTTATCTTATAGAAAACTGAACATTTGCTTAAATTGGTCCCAAGCCTCCGTATTACTCACCTGACATGCGCAGGGCAATTAAATATGCAAAGAGCGCCAATGTTAAAAATGGCGGCTGACAGAGTGAAGCGGGAGCGTAAGACTCCGAAGAGATTTATTGACGAATTCGCAGAAGCTAAGACCAAGCAATGCAAGAAAATAAAAACTACGGATAAGAATATTTATCCTGTAGAGATAATACAGGTCGACAAAGCGAGAAACATGGTCAAAATTCATTTCAAAGGGTACAGCGAGAAATTTGACGAATGGAGGCCATGCGATGAACATAATTTGCCCGTAATGCGATTGGAACCGATGTCAAAACCAACCGATGATTCCTTCAGCGATCGCCTGCAAACTTTTTATGAACGCGTTTATAGGGAGATCAAGCGAAAGTTGTATTCCGGGCGCAGAGAGGATCCAGAAGTTCGTATTGAAATTCAAGTCGATGACGACGTTTTCTATAAAAGTCTTGGAAGGATTTCATCCAAAAAATATCAGAGGAATAAACTAATATATGAAATTCTTTCAAATGAAACTCTGGATTGTTATATCGGCACAAAGTAGAATGAGCGGATCATGAATGAAAACAGCGATTTTGCTCATGTTGTACCAGGAACTGTGAGATTTTGGTTGACAAAAAGAAACCCCATAGTGGAATTTAAATTAATTGGCGATAAATACGTGAGATCTGAAATCGAAGACGGGCATCAACTCGTTTTTACATTTGTCCGTGGAGATGGCAATGTAGAGTGCGTGACATGTTTTGTTGAGTTCATGAACCACAAAGGGTGTCGGGAAAAAAAGAGAAAAGCATGTGCTCGGAGTTTTCGAATAAATACAACCTTGTGTTTAATTAATCTGGTGATTTGAGTGTGTAACATTGGCGACCCCGCCAGGACTCGACCGAAGAGGCTTATCATCGACGAAGAACTGCCTTGGGTTGTGAAGGACAAAGTAATTGGCACGCTTGGTTGATTCGTCGAGCGCGAGTTGGTTGTGGTCGATTGCTGTCGACGGCGGACTGATCTTGACGTAAAGTGTCGCATTTCTTTTGTGAACGGCTGATTGCACTATTGGTGAGTACGAAAGATTATTTTTGGAAGTATGATGGATACCGAGAGTCTGCAGATCGAAATTCAGGCCGCGTTGTGTTCCTTGAGCGAGGAAAGGCTTAAAGAAGTTTGTAGTGGGCTGAACATTACTGTACCGCCTGAGAGCAAGGGAAGGTTGGTTTTTATCCGAGCTCTAAATAAATACCTCGAAACGGAAGAATTAGATAATGAGAAGCTCAAAGTGTTGTCGTCGTCTCTAAGTATGCAGGGAAAATTTGTACCGGAACAGAAAACGGAACCGCCGAAAGCTTCTGAAAATAATAAAGCGACCGTCAAAATAGAGCAAAATCCCGTGGTGTCAATTTCAAAATTCAAACGCGACTTCAAGATTTCGGGCCAGATTGGCGACGCGTCGCAGAAGGATCGTTTGAGTTTTTCCTCGCTAGTGCATCAAATTGAGAATGGTTTAAAGAACGACTATACAGAGGATGAAATTAAAGAGGCTGTGATAAAAGCGATAAATCCGGCGTTAAGCCTAAGAAGTTATTTGGAGGGTAAGGTAGATTTAACACTGGCCAAATTGAGGAGAATTATGCGTTCTCATTATCAGGAGAGAACAGCAACCGAACTATATCATCAGTTGAGCTCAACTGTCCAACAGCCAAAGGAAAAACCTCAAGAATTCTTGATCCGCCTTCTCGATTTGAAACAGAAGATCTTGTTTGCATCTCAAGAAACTGACTCGGACCTGAAATATGATCCTACCTTAGTACATGGCATGTTTGTCCATAGCTTTTCCCTTGGCCTGCAAAGTGAGAATATCAAGATCGAAATGAAGCCTTACTTGGAAAAGAAATTTATAAGCGATGAAGAACTATTCGAGAAATTAAATGTGTGTTTCAGTGACGAACTGGAGCGATCACAGAAATTCGGTTCACAGCTAACCCCCAAGGTAAATGCTGTTCAAAAGGGAGGGGACAAGCAGGAGACAAAGAATAATGGGGTGGAGGAAGGTCTCATGAAAGAACTAAGGGAGCTCAAGGCAGAAGTGGCCGCAGTCAAAGAGAGAGTTCGGGCCCCACTCCGGGCTCAAACCCCCCTCACACAACAGCCTATGAGACAACCCCCACTGTGTAGGACCTGCCAACAAAGTGGGAATGGATGGCCGTGCAACCATTGCTTCAGGTGTGGGGCGAGTGGCCATTATGTACGCGAGTGTAATGCCCAATTCAGCCGACGCTCTCCGGCAGAATCTCAGGGAAACGGCCAGAGGTCACGCCCATGGGACAGGGTGTGACCAGGCAAGAAAATCAGTCCCGTTACGTGCAGTGTGGAAAACAAAGCACAGACCATGTACCACTTAACCGCTGCGGAGCCTGTAAGATCAATAGATATTATTCAAAAGAATGTCAAGTAAAATACAGAACTGTGCATAAACCAGTTTGCATGGCTATACAGGAACTTGAGAAACAGAAAGCAGCCGGAGATGATGGCGATGATTTGAACACGACGTTTCCCTGCCACCTGACGCCAAGGCAGCAGCTCGGACTGACGAAAATCGTGGGACGGAGGTGCGTGGTAAAATGCCTAATTCAAGGAAAGGAAGTGGAGGCATTATGGGATACAGGTTCCCAGGTTTGTGTTGTGTCAAGGAAGTGGCAACAAACTCACTTACCGCTGGAGGTGTTAAGAAATGTTGAAGAGTTGTTGGGAGCAGGAGAAGAGTTGAATTTGGAAGCGATGAATGGGACAAACATTCCATTTGACGGTTGGATTGAGGTCGGGTTTAAGTTGGCTGGAGATGATACAACTGCTCATGAGCTGACAGTTCCAGTACTGGTGGGACAAAAGGAACAAGAGTACCCAATCATTGGCTTCAATGTTATAGAAGAAGTCCTCGCTCAACATGGTGGAAACCACCAAGCGGCAAGTAACATCATTCAGCAGTCATTCCCTTCAATTCATCATACTCGCGTAGGTACCCTGATCAATCTGATCCAGTCAAGAACACAGGATACCGGTACTGCAGCTGTTAAAGTCGGAAAGAGAGATGTTATGCTGCCAAAAGGAGAGGCAACGACAGTTAAGTGTCAAACTCACCTCGGACCAGTTCCAGAGGGGATGCCAGTAATATTTGAGCCCAAGGAAGACAGCGAGCTCCCAGACGGACTGGAATTGGGCGAGGAACTTACTAAAATAACCCCGGGAACCTCTAGTCACGTGGCCGTCGTGGTCCAAAACAATACAGACAGAAACATCTTGTTAAAGCGCAGAACAGAATTGGGCCGGATACACCTGGTAAAGTCAGTTCTACCAATTCCAAATACTCCCGACTCGTACTCTCGAGGAGACGAGAATTTTTACCCTGAAGCTACCTTGCATCCTGGTCAGGAACAAGATGGATGGGAGCCACCAGTTGACTTGAGTCAGCTAGAAGACAATGAACAATTGATCGTCCACGAAATGCTACGGCAAGAAGCTGGTGCCTTTGCAAGAAACGACGATGAGGTTGGCTGCGTGGAGAACTTGGTGCTTGATATCCAGTTAAAGGACAATGAGCCAGTACAGAAGAACTATATCTCCATCCCCAAGCCACTCTATGGGGAAGTGAAAGAGTACTTAGAAGACTTGATTAATCGAAATTGGATCTGCAAGTCCCGTTCGGCTTACTCCTCACCCATGGTCTGTGTTCGCAAAAAGGATGGAAGTCTGCGACTTTGTATTGATTATCGAGAATTGAACAAGAAAACATATCCAGAACGACAGCCGATTCCCCGTATACAGGATATCTTAAATGGCCTAGGCGGCAACAAATGGTTTACAGTTCTGGACCAAGGGAAGGCCTACCACCAAGGCTTTATGACAGAAGAAAGCCGCCCCCTGACTGCATTCGTGACCCCCTGGGGATTGTATCAATGGAATAGAATACCGTTTGGGCTAATGAATGCACCGGCGGCATTCCAAAGGTGCATGAATGAATGTCTAGATGGCTTACGTGACAACATCTGTATTCCCTACCTGGATGATGTCTTGGTGTATAGTAAGACCTTTGAGCAACACGTTCAGGATGTCCAACAAGTCCTGCGTCGACTGCAGGAACATGGGATAAAGTTAAAGCCATCAAAGTGCAAGTTCTTCCAACGACAAGTTAGATATTTGGGGCGGGTTGTTTCCGGCGATGGCTACTCTCTAGACCCAGAGGACACGGCTGCCGTACACAACTTGGCGAAACAGAAACCAGCAACAGTGGGTGATGTGCGTAAATTGCTAGGGTTCCTGAGTTACTACAGGCAATACATCCAGGATTTCTCACGCATAGCTAAGCCCCTGTACGATCTAATGGCTGGCCCTGATCTATTGGCTAATAATCATAAGGTAACATGGACAGAGGAACATCAGAAGCGGCTTGACATGCTGGTCGACCGACTGACTTCTCCTCCAGTGATGGCATTTCCCGACTTTACGAAGCCATTTGTACTTCACACAGACGCCTCGCAAGAGGGACTTGGAGCTGTATTGTATCAAGAACAGGACGGGAAGCTCAGAGTTCTAGGTTATGCCTCTAGGACACTAACTCCAGCAGAGAAAAATTACCACATGCACGCGGGAAAATTGGAG